GCATTCTCGCATTATTCGATTTTACAGCAGTTATTCTCATTGCAGTTTTAGAATTACATTTTATTTGAATAGATTATATTTCTTTAATGTCCACAACATTCAGTCCGAATTTATAGATTTTATTCTCTGTAACAATCTGTTAGATTTTATAGTTTCTACTACATTCTTTCAGAATTTAAAATATTTATTATTTACAATGCACTAAATATTTTACTATTTACAAGTTGATTATGTTTTTTTGTAGATTTTGATTTTGAAGAGGCTGTTATTGATGTGGAAAAAGAAAAAAAAAAAAAAAAAACTTGAAGAATGACAATGTATTCTACCGGAATGTATTCTGCCACAATGTATAATGTGTTTGATAATTTTATAATGGATTATTGTTTTTGTTAGATTTTAATATTATTTAACCATTGTTTATAGTTTTATTATTTACGAATTAATGTAATTAGTCATTCTAAAAGAATAAAATCCATATTCTTTAGAAAATGTTATTGTTTATAATATGTTGTACAAGTCATTAAGCATGTTAATTTAAAAAAAAAAAAATACATCTTGAGTGTAACCATATTCTACAAGAATAAATTTGAAAATATGTTTACTAGTTTTGTGGTTGACTTTTTGTTATTCTGACAGAATAAAAACGATTATTACTAAAAAATTATATTAAAATTATTTTAAAAAATCCAGATTAAAAAAAAAAACAGGAATTAATTATCCTTAAAATACGGAAATTTTCTTTTTTAATATAGGTTAATTGACAAAAACACATTTATGCCGAAATTTGTATGGTTATATGGTACATGTTACCGTATTGTATTATCATAGACCCTAGATCATGACCATTGATTTTATTCCATCCGTTGGTCCAGATTTGTGCATACGAGCACACAATAGTTGTTGGAAACATTTGAATGTAACCATATATATATATATATATATATATATATATATATATATATATATATATATATATATATATATATATATATATATAGGTTCAGGTTTATTTGAGACCATTCTAATTTTGTGAGACCGTGAGACCAAATCTAAAAATAATTTTAAATTGCAAAATAAATGGACAAATCCAAAAAAAAAAATTTTAAATATTATTTTCGGAACTTGAATTAACTAAATAAAAAATAAAAAAAACAAAAAAACAAATAAAAATAATAAAAAAAAACCCGTTTTTTTTTTAATACGTGAAATATTCGAATAGAATATTACACTAACATATTTTAAAATATAATTTTAAAATGGAAAATAAATGGAAAAATCAAAAAATTCTTTTTTTAAATATTATTTTCAGAACTTGAATTAACTAAAAAAAAAGAAATAAATAAAAATTACATTTTTTTAAAAAAATATGTGAAATATTCTAATAAAATATTACATTGTACAGATTCTAAAAAATAATTTTAAAATGAAAAATAAATGGAAAAATCCAAAAATTCTTTGTTTAAATATTATTTTCGGAACTTAAATTAACTAAAAAAAATAAAAAAAAAATAAAAAAATGCATCTCACATGAACCTATATATATATATATATATATATATATATATATATATATATATATATATATATATATATATTGTTTTGCCAATTAAATATATGTTTGTTTTAATACGAAGTTGCAACCCAAAGTTGATGATTTTCAAAGGGAAAATGAAATGGAAAAAAAAAAAAAAAGCTTGAGAAGAGATGCAACAAAACCCAAGCCCAACGGTAAGCATTATGAATGAACTTATGAAGCGATTTGGTAATATATATTTATGGCAATCCACCTAACTCATTCTAATTTATTGTGTTTGTTGTTTTAGACACTTGTTGAACACTTTGCTTATTATATTTGTGGGAAAATTGATTTAAAAGCCCAACAAAGTTTTCAAACCATTCAAAAAACCTCAATCATGTTTTGTCTGTTAAAAAAAACCCAACGAACTTAACTTTTTGTCTAAAAAGTCCAACAAAGTTTCAAACCGTTCAGAAAATTCCAATTTTGTTTTGTTTAAGTTCGTTGGGTTTTTATTGAACAGTCAAAACATGATTGGAGTTTTTTTTAAAACGTTTTTGAAACTTCGTTGGTCTAACAAGTCATTTTTCCGATACGGTAATAAGCCACGTCATCTGTTTTCTTTATTTGACTTTCGAGAAAGTGTAACTTAGTTGGGCTTTTTAGATAAAATGCTAAGTTTGTTGGGTTTTTTTGAACAGACAAAACATGATTGGGGTTTTTTAAACGGTTTGTAAACTTCGTTGGGTTTTTAAGTCATTTTCCCTATATTTGTGGTTTTGACATTTTCTTATTTGTAATTGAACATGTAAAACAAGTTTTTATACTTAATCTTATTCTTTTAGCATTTTGGATTGACAAAATTTGGTATCCTTTTATTTATGTTAAATATTTTTTTGCGCTAAAAACGGTCACAAATGAGAACTGTCGATATTCTATCGGCAATTATAAAAAATGAGGTTTATCAGTATTTCGTTGGAATTTGTGAAAAATGATATTTGTTTGTAATATGTTCCTTGAGTATTCAATCAAGAAAGTTGCATAAACAAGTTTGTCGAAAATGTGTTGGTATTGTTGGAATCCTAAGTCGATGAGGACTTTGAGACCAAGCAATCTAATTTATGGAAAGTTTAGTTTATGACAAGTTGGTCATAAGTTTCCTAGTCTAATACAAGTTGGTATGTTAGGCTATATATATGTGTCCATAATCGAGTTTATGATTATGAGAACAGATTGTAAAAACATTGGTTTTGAGTGATTTTCCAATTAATGAAAGAGTTATTTTGGTTATTTTGTTTTGCATTCTTGTTTTCAAAACTTTAATTGGTAGCAGAGCATAGGTTGAGAAGCTGTGAGATCGATTTGTACCTGTTGACGAGTCAGGTCAACATGACAGATACAGGGGGAGAAGGAGAGGCTCCGGTGAGAGTGAAGGAGGTTGGGACAACCTCAGTTTTGTGTCCGATGCTCACATCCACTAACTACACCGTGTGGGCAATGCGTATGAAGGTTGTCTTACGCATCCACAAAGCCTGGACTGTGATTGATCCAGGAACCGATGTCAATGAAGAAAAGGACTGCCTTGCCATGGGTTTGCTATATCAAGCCCTACCAGAAAACCTCATAATGCAGATTGGAGATCAGGATTCAGCCAAGAAATTGTGGGATGCGATTAGAGCACGTAATGTGGGTGCAGATAGAGTCAAAGAAGCGAGATTACAAACCTTGATGTCAGAATTCGATCGCCTGAAGATGCTCGAGTCAGAAACAATCGATAGCTTTGCTGGAAAGCTGTCCGGAATCGCGTCTACATCGTCAGCATTAGGAGAAACGATTGAGGAATCAAAATTAGTGAAGAAATTCCTCAAATCATTACCCAGAAACTTCATTCACATCGTTGCATCTCTTGAACAGGTACTAGATTTAAAATCGGTAGGGTTTGAAGACGTAGTGGGTCGATTGAAGGCATATGAAGAAAGAATAAGGGAAGTCGATGCTGGAGAAGGACAATTGAGGGTTCTATTTGCCGAAAAATCGACCGGAGATGGAGGTGGGTCGTCAACTGGTGGGGGTAACTCATCGGGAACGAAGGGAAATTGGAAAGGATCGATTGGGTCTAATAAAGCAAATGAGTTTAATGGGACTAATGGGTCAAGTGGATCCATATATAGTGGGTTATCCAGGTCGGGTGGATCAGGCGGGCCCAAAGGGAATAATAGGGTTTCTCAAAGCAGTCGGCCCAATAAACTGTCCAATTCTAATTCTGATTGCAAAAATTGTAATTGTTGTTGTGGGAAGAATCGGAAAAATAGGGAAAAGGATCAATCTAAGGTGATTTGTTTTCGGTGTGACAAACCGGGTCACTTTGCTTCTGAATGTCCGGAACGACTCCAAAAATTACAAGACGGTGATTTTTCGGAACGTGACGACAGTGACGAATCCGTTTTTTAAATACGGATCGGGTTGAAGAATTCTCTAGAAGGACTTAGAGATTCGGGGGTGATTGTTGGAATCCTAAGTCAATGAGGACTTTGAGACCAAGCAATCTAATTTATGGAAAGTTTAGTTTATGACAAGTTAGTCATAAGTTTCCTAGTCTAATACAAGTTGGTATGTTAGGCTATATATATGTGTCCATAATCGAGTTTATGATTATGAGAACAGATTGTAAAAACATTGGTTTTGAGTGATTTTCCAATTAATCAAAGAGTTATTTTGGTTATTTTGTTTTGCATTCTTGTTTTCAAAACTTTAGGTATTTACCGACTGTACTTTCTGTCAGGAAAGTCGCACAAATTCCTTCGGACATCTGGCCTAATAATTTACACATGCCATTTTTCCAAGTATTTTTCTTTCAGAATTACTCAAATTATGCAATTTCCTAGTTGTGTAAATCATCTTATTAATGAATAAACTACGACCATGGTGCAAATTTATAATAAATACCAACACAAAAGTACTATGTTGAGGAAAGGGTAGTGAATGGTAGAGAAAAACAAAGACATAGTGATAGCTATAACTATAACCTTGCCACCAACAACAATGTATGACTATATCTACGGGTGGCGCGACGTGTGGCATGGGGCAAGGTCAAGCCTCAAGCCATAGCGAGCTTTGGCAGGTCATGACGTTTTTCTAGGCATGATCGTTTTATATACGTTAAGAAAGATAAATCGCTTAATTATAAAATTATATCAAATACGTCAAGTTTTAGATGTTTTAAGAACATGCAAAGCCTAAAATAGTAATAAGTCATGTAAACAGACACAATCTATAGGAAAAAAATAGAACCTTGAAACTGATTTTGGCTTATGATCCCACCCCCATGCATGGGCATTTGACATGTAGTTGATTGCTATTCAGCATTATAATTTTTCCCATCATCATGATTTTCAGTATCAAAACTTTCCCCATCATCATAATTTTCAATATCATTATTTTCACCATCATCAGACAGCTCATCAAATGAATGAATATGAAACTGTTAACGAAGAATGCCACCAACCCCATCAAGACCTTTACAAAAACACAACCCCTCATTAGATTTGTTTGTGACAAACTCAATCTTACAGCCAAATCTTCCGTACTCATTAACAAACCACTCAATCAGAGACATATTTTCCTCAACTACAAGTTCAGCATCGCTGACTGAATCCCTAAAATTACTCCCATCAGTCTCCTGTTCCTTGTTTAAATACTTTATAACAATTTCACCAGAAACATTGTTTCTTAGAACATAGCGATTAATTTCAAGATTTTCCCAAACAAGCAGTGTTTCCACAGCACCCAAGTGTAAAGCTTCCAATGTTTCATCAATACCAACGGTTCCTCTATACTGATTTATCGCCTCAAAATACTTCTCAATCAAACGCATGTCCCGAACGAACTTCACATTGCCAAGAATCTCAGAGGACAAATAAATAGCATGATTGAAACCACTCTCACCTCCGTAAGAGACATGAACAACATTCAAGATTTTCTCCTTAAGACGAGGGTCAAACAAATCAGATTGACTGAGATCATTCGTCAAATCAGCGCATCCAGCAAGTATAAGTCCAGAAACATTAGGCTGATTAGTAGAAGGATTGATATAAAACTGTGTTGCAAGCTCTGCTGTCTTCCTTACATAGTTGTGGCGTTTCTCCATAAGAATACGAGCAAATCTCGTAGCTGAATGCCCTCTTCTTCCATGTTTCATTGGCAACCCATCATTATACTTGTGTAGAACCTCCTTAGTATCGCCACTTAATGTCCCAAAGAGGGTATTATTACCATCCATAACAATAAAACCAAACGTCTCAACGTTGTTACCAGAGTTATCCGTTGCCATCGAACTTAATTTTCTTGCCTGCCAATAGCAGTGACAAATATAATAAATGGAAAAGATGACGCAATTGCCAAAAAGAATGTGGTTTGAAAGGAATAAATACCTTTGATGATGATGATGAACACTTCAACGATTGTTTTTGAACGCTTCAACTTCAAAGATGGTTAATTGATTTAATTCTTTGATGCTTATGAATTGGTACTATCGAAATTTATTCAACGACTGCGCTTTACAGAAATCGATTATCGGTCTATTTTAAGAAGATAGTTGTGTTGTGATTTGGGCCGCTTTTGATGCCGATTTAGTTGCGATTTGAAAAGACGGTGCTTTAGGAATCTATAAAGTAGCGATATGGACAGCTATCGAAGATTTTCATGCGATTTTGATGGGTTCAAAACAAATCAGTACGTAGAGGCCAAAATCGGGATGTATCCTTCCATTATGGAAAGCATTGACAGCAAAAAAAAAGGTTGCATTAAATATGTTATTTATATGATAAACATGCCTTTTTAAGGAGTATCATCTTTGTAAAGGAATATCTATGTTACATTCTTACCCATCATTGTAAAGCCCGTGTATATTTGTGTATCAGGCCTTAGGCCTCGTTTGTGTTGTATTTATTCCTTGTTATTGTAATTATTTAGTTGAATGAGGAAATATCAATTACCATTACTTGGTGTTAATCCCCAATCCCTACCTAAACTCCCTCTAATCTTCTTCATCATCTCTCTCTTTTTTCCAACCATGTTCAGCTATTGCCATCTGTCAAACCCTAATTGTTGGTTACACTGCAAACACACCACCGTCCCTTTGCCAAATCCTACAACCAACATCAAAACATACGTCCCTCTTCTCCTCGGCCTTGAACATCTCAACTACGATGTGTGGTGTGAGCTATCCACCACGCATTGTGTTGGTTTTGAAATCATTATCACCGAAGACTTCTATGCCGACGACCTAACAGACCTATGCTGACACGCCTGTGCCGATGACTCTATGGCTCCATTTCACGATGTATCCTACAAACTATTCTAAAGAAAGATGCCACAACTCAAGATGTGTAGCTTAGCTTCGAGAAACTTTTATGGGACATCAAAGAAGCGAAGCTCTTCTACTTGATCGGAAGCTCCGATCGATTTTCATGGGAGACCTCTTCGTTCGTGAGTATTGCACGAATATCAAATGTCTATCCAATCTCCTTAAATGTATCGATCAACCAATATTCGACAAAAATCATGTCATCTACACCATCAACCTGTCAATTAATTTTGAGTAGCTAGGTTGCAAGCATCATCCGACATCGTTCCCTTATTCCTTGTTATGAGAGAAGATCGATGCATGAGGAGCAACACATGAATCAAACTCGAACCGTTGTTCCGTCTCACCATGCTCACCAGAATGAATGATACATGGGCGATCGACAACAATAGTTGTCTTCCGCAGTCACCTTTACCCACAGAAACCAGACCCATTATGGTTGGATTTACATCCCTCTATCGGATTAGGACATAATCAACAATTACCATGATGAAAGGAAATGGAATAACAACAGTGAAAAGACATAAAATGAAAATAAAGTTAGACTTTTAATATAGGTCGTTTAGTCTGGAGGAAGTGGTTCCCATTAGCACCACATCAAATTTAATATATATATATATATATATATATATATATATATATATATATATATATATATATATATATATATATATATATATATATATATATATATATATATATATATATAAAGCGTTTTTATTTAACTAAAATTTATTAAAAGTCTAAAAACATATATGATAAAAGACGTCTTTGTCCGAAAATTCATGTCGAAATCATCTATGAGATCCATATTGAAGATCAATGTTTTGAACTTCGTAAATATTTTTATTATAAAGTAATTTGATTAATGATATTAATGATATTTTTTAAATAACACTAAGGGCAATAATTTCTTAATGATATTATATATTTTTTAAATTATATTTTACAATATAAGGTAATTTGATTTAACTAAAAATTATTTTAATCATCATTGATGCACACATCACAACCAACTACTACATTTATTTATCTTGGGCTAAACTTCACACTATGGATGTAATAGAGGCGAAGCAAGTTGAGTACAATCAAGGTCGAAACTCGATTTTATTAAAACACATGGGCTCGTAACTCAGCTCGAGCTCGTATTGAGCCTCAATTTCAAACCCGGGCTCGAACTCAATAATGTAATTGAAAATTTCGAGCTTGGCTTGATAATATCCACGAGTATCTCAAGCTAGTGCTTGAATCGACTTGAACCGAGTTGATTTCTAATCGGTTTCGATTATCTCACGAGTTGGCTTATAATATCCTATTTCGAGAAGTTTCTTATTTCGAGATTTTGGAAAAGAAACGGATCAAATAAAGGACTTAGGCTTCAAGGGAATAGGGCTTAGACCATGTTGGATGTTGATAATATTGGTTATGTGATCCAAGCCCTTGGTTTGGGATTTGGAGTCAAAGGGTAAATAGGAAAAGTGATGTTCCAGACATCTTTCATGAATTAAGGATTTTAGTTTTAGGTTTTGAGCATTCTAACACTCCTAAGGTGTTCATACAACCTTAAATACCTTGGATCTATGTTTTCACTAATTATACATGCAATGGTGTTACCAAGGTATTAAACCTATAACTAGTATACAATTGTCATATACCATACAAGAATCTAGTTAGGATAACATACCTTATGGTGGAGATTGAAGTCTTGATGCATCTAGCCTTAAGAGCTTAGCCCCAATAGTGTGGAAGCCTAAAGTAGAATCATAAATCACCATCAACAACTTGGAAGAACTTGAGAGAATATGGAGCTCACTAAAATCACCTCTTCATTTTTGGAAGAACAACCCCCTTTGATTCCTATATTCATCCAAAATTTCAAAATATGAATGTTTTTGGGTTTAAAAGTAGTAACCAACTTCCCAAGTCTGCAATCAATCAAGTTGAAAGAACGTATCGTATCCGGTATGCAAAGTATCACTTATGAATATATGTTGCCATGACAGAACCTTAACAACTGATTTTCTAATCGAAGGATGAAAACATCAGTTGCAATTGTCTTGGTTGAATTCTACACATTGTAAAACTAGATTTACAAGAATACACCTCCCTTTCCTTAAAATGCAATCACTTATGAAGCATAGCTTCTGCAAATGAAAACGTTTTTGTGGAACAAAGCAACCATTGGCATAGGCAAAAAAAACATATAAACTAATTAGTGTTGTTTACATTCATTTTACAGTTTTAAATGTTAAATTGAATCATACCAAATTATATGAGGTTAAACCAAAAGATAGAAAAGTAGCCAAAAAAATAATAAAAATGCAAGGTATCATCACTATCATGAGAAATCATAAAATAAACAAATAAACAAAATTATGTAGCCTAAAAACATAATACTAACTCATTCTTAGCAACATCCTCAGCTAATATTAGAACAAGACACTATAATCCAACTGATCAAGCAGAAGTAGTATTTCCATATACAAGCTAACGAATAATGCACCATGTTCCCCATTAATCCCTGTATCATTGAAGCGTTTTGAGTTGGGTTCATAGACAACAACTGTAGCTGATTATTCATAATCATCTTGTGTTTCCATTATAGCTTCACCCCTCTATGAAAACCCCAGATCTTCATTGAATCACATTCTTTCTCAATGGTGCACAGTTTTGTAAACATATGAGGAACATAATGATCCATAATCCATACATCACAAACTTGGAGTTTACTTTGTGATTGTGAACGATGTATGTGATGTATTCAAGCACAGCAAGAGAGTAACGTACCTTAGAGACATATTGTGTAACACGTAGAAACATGGTATGCTAAACTTTTTGGTAGATTTATCACTTTAAATTTGTGGGTAGTCATATCAAATGAAACAATTAGATTTTTTTGTATATGGCATTCATCATCTGTATTAGGGATGTCAACGGGACCAAACGGCAGCGGAAATAGATGCCTTACTCCCGCCCCCGAAATCAGTTGTTGCCTCCGCTCCTGGTCTCGCCCCTGGCTCCCCCGTTTACATAGCCCCTGGTCACGCCCCTGGTTATCTCCATCGCCCCCGGTCCTGCCCCCGTTCCCCCGGTTTATATGTAGCACCTAGTTCCTGGTATGTATGATTTATCTTAGTATTTTACATTTTTAGCCTTGGACTCGGCGAGTTGTAGGCCTGACTCGCCGAGTAGGGATGGGATATTGGGCACATTTAAGTTGCAGACTCAACGAGTCCGTCAGTCTGGAAGAAACCCTGATTTCAAGGGTTTGCATTCTATTTAACCCCCCCCCCCCCTTATGCGCCCCAAGCCAGTCTCCTTCACCCCCATAGCATCCTATATCAAACCCTAACCCTCTCCTTGTGTTTTGAAGCGTTTATGTGCTTGTTCCTTGAAGATTGAAGAAGAGAAGGAAGGAAAGACCAAAAGAGAAGGTGAAGAGTAAGGATCTAAGACCTAATCCAGAGTTCATTGAGGTACAATTCGGATCTATTCTGTTTATATGCTTAAATCCCCATTAAAGCTATTATTGAGCCATTTCCAAGCTTGATAGTAGTGTAGGGATCATAATGGGTTAAATAGCCACTAGATCTAGCTATGTTTGAGTTCCAGAAGCCTGAATCTAATACCTTTATGGGGCCATATTGCATGAAGCCCTAGAGCTACCCCTTTTAGTGTGTTTTGAGCCTTCAAACCTCCATTGATGATTATATACACGTAAAGTTGGAAACTTTACGTGTTAATCAAGCCCTAGGAACCCAAATCTATAAATAGGATGCACCGGATTCAAGCAGAATCGAGTGTATAGAGATTGCATGTATGCGACTCGGCGAGTCGTTTATCAGACTAGGCGAGTCGAGTCACAAGTCCTTGATTTCCCCCTTTCGAGTTATGCCGAGTGGGATCAGTAAACCATAGGTGGACTCAGTGAGTCGGGAGCCAGACCCAACAATAGAGGGACTTGGCGAGTGAATGCCCTGACTCGGCGAGTCCAAGGCAATCTTCTTGCCTCAAGAACAGACTCGACGAGTTGTTCATATAACTCGGCGAGTCACAGTCTAGAGTGTTCATCGGATGAAGATGAACTCGACGAGTTGTTCATACAACTCGGTGAGTCGGATGAAGGATCATTGGACATCAGTTTAGAAGAAGAACTCGTCGAGTCATCGCCTAACTTGACGAGTAGAGTCGGGTATGAGGACAAATGGAAAGGATAGGGACTCGGCGGGTTGGCGAGCCAACTCGGCGAGTCAGGTAGTTGACTTTGACTTTGACTTGGTCAGGGGTAAAATGGTTATTTTACCCCAAGGGCAATTAGCAATGTTTGATTGAGTGTTATGTAGGAAATTACAGCCGGAGGATTTCCGAAGCAGCAGACAGACAGTTCCCACGCAGATCAGCAGCTACTATGAGGTGAGTTACCTTCCAGTAGCGGTGGGTCTTCAGCCACAATGCTACCCCATTAGTAGGAGTTGTATGATTTGATGATTGTCTCCGTGATATTCATCTAGGTTTGCTACCGCCTGATATGTTTATGTGCTAGTATGATATGATGCTATGTGCTAGTGACAGTAGGTGAGATAGTCCCCAGATTACCGGTCGATAGGGCCGAAGGGGTTGTCATGCCCAGCCATGCTAGATAGATTATGTGATATGTGTTATGTGGTAGTAGCGGGGGGGGGGGGTGAATTAGTCCTCAGTATCTAATCAAGAGGACCGAAGGGGGAGACCAGCACCCAGATATGCTAGTCAGTATCTGGTCGAGAGGACCGAAGGGGAGGCCAGCACCCAAATATGCTAGCCATTATCCAGTCGAGAGGACCGAAGGGGTAGGTCGGGCACCCAGATATGTCTGACAATATATGTACGTTATGTGATTATATGGTATGTGGTATAGTGGGGGAACTCACTAAGCATCGTGCTTACAGTTTATAGTTTGGTTTCAGGTACCTCTTCATCGAAGGGGAAGGAGCTGGCGCGGTAGTGACACATCATACACACACTGTTGTCCGCATTTATGGGATTGTTCTGGGATTTGCACTCTGACATTTTGATTGATTACATGTTTTGGTTTTCAGATATGGTTTACGTTTATGAAATGTTCTGATTAGACAATGTTTATTTGCAAATGATTTTACTAAGTATTGTTTGAAAAATGAAATTTTTGGACGTGAAAAATGGATCGTTACATTATAGGCTTAAAATTCGATTTTTTTTTTTTTTTGCTAAACAAGTACTTTGGTTTAGGCTAAAAAAACTATTTTTAATACCTTTAAAAGCTTAAAACTTAATCTTTTAGAAACTAAAAAAATTAAAAATTCAACATTACAAAATGATAATTCCAACAATTTTACAAATATAAAATACGAAAAACCCAACATTACAAATATAAAATACTTACATTGTTAAAAATATATGATAAATTCACTACATCTTCAATATCCATTAATTGGAAACGGAAAAGTGAAACATAACCAAAACCTAAAATTAGAAAATCTATTTTGTATATATTTTATATTAAATATATTTTTTTTACATAAATGTACAATAGGGGCTCCCGCGGGAGTAAGGGACGGAAATACCAACTCCCGAGCCCGATCCCAAAAATAAGCAGGGTTTAATTCTGCTCCTGCCTCCGCTCCCGCTCCAGGTTTTTTTTTTTAAATTTAGTCCCGTACGGTATCGGAGTCTTACTGGGATTTTGACATCCCTAATCTGTATCAACATCCTGATCAAACGCAGCCGAATAAATAAAATTATCTATATCTATCTAAGAGCATGTAACTTGAATTGATTTCTTAGGCAGATTATTAGATGGATTTCTCTAACTACATCTACTCAATATAAAAAACTTCAACCATAGGAGAACTATCATCATCAGTTGTAAAATACGTATCAAAATTTTTAATCTTGACAATAGTAGGGTAATTAGTGATAGGACGATAGGATGACTTGGATCTTGATTGAATCAGCCAAAACATGTTCTTCAGGCCTAGGAGAATAGAACGCTTCTGTAGGATAATGATTTACTATATATAAGTGAACCTCTACTCTCAAGTCAAAAAGATAGCTACCCTCCAGTCAAACGTTTGCTAATTGCTATAGCTAAAATGCCTTAAGTTGTTTAATGTATTATGAGAGATCAAAATCAAACGTTCAAACCTGTCACAATGCAATCATCACAAATTCCAAGGTTTTACATCATTTATAACTACAATCTAGCTGACAGTTACAAACTTAAAATATAACCACTTATTAGGCTGGAGGGTGTCGTGCCACCGAAACCGCACTCCCTTCGTTGCCACGTAAGCGCCACGTTATTTTTACTACAAAAGTGCAGTTCCTGCCACACCCAAGGAGTGGTGCCACACTTCATTTAAAAAAAAAATTAAATAAAAACTTTAATTTCTCCCCACCCAATCAAAAAACAGTCAAATTATCTGCAGCCAATCACAAGCCGCGGCCATTTTTTGCCGCACTGCGGTTTGAACCGCACGAAACCGCACCCAGGGGCGGTGTTCGCTGCTTATGTGGCGAAACCGCACTCCCTGAAACCGCACCACGCCCTGTAACCTTAAGCTTAGCTTCTACAAAAGAATAACTTTGTGTTCATCTAAAGAACCATTGGAATATGCAAAAATATAAAGTATAAACTAATTAGTTTGGTTTACATTCAATTCATGGTTTTAAAGGTTAGACTGAATTCTACCGAATGATGGGATTAAACTATTTTGGGAAGATAAAAAAAACTATACAAAAAAAGTCATAAAATTAGAATGCAAGTCATTGGCACTCATGCCATGTTGAATCACGTAGTGACCAAGTAGACAGACTTGGGAATATTATCAAGGTATAAGTATCAATGATTGTGTAGAAAATATCTCGAAATTGACCAACTTTAAAATGAAATGCATTAAATATGTTACAATGCTATCTACTTCAATATGTTTCATGTGAGAAAACATTACTTTGATATATTAGAAAATTTAGCAATTCTACTACAAGATCAGCAGTGTGCTACATGAACAAATAGGGAATCTTAGAATAAAACACTACAATCCAACTTAATTATCAAGCAGAAGTAGTGTTTCCTTGTAAGAGCTAACGAATAATGAACCATCTTTTCCATTAATCCCAATATCATTGATGTGCTCTAAGTTGGGTTCATAGAAAGCAAGATTAGCTCCCTCTATGTAATAATCATCTTGTGTTTCCATTATAAGTTTACCATTCTTTGTAAATCCCAAAATCTTTTGAGATAGAAATAAATTTGGAACAGGATTAATATCAACATCGTTAATGGTGAACAGCTTTGTAAACATACTCGGAAGAGAATGATCCTAACTTCCGTTCCAAAATCATTACAAACATCTGTAATCTTCACAATCGTAGGTTCATTAGTGGTAGGACAAACCCCAAAACCAAGAACAGTTCCTAACGAAAGCAAATCACTTGGCATAGTTATACAAACTGATTTCCTAATACAAGGATTGAAAAGAACAGCCATTTCTGTTGGAAATTTATAACGAGGATGACCTGGATCTTCATAATAACCGCGCAAACACAACAATCCCTGAGAGCTACCCACCATTTCTAAATCGACTAAAAATTTAGAGAGCACAGGAACAGCTGGAGCGAGATCTTGTTGGCTAAAAGTTTCGTCATCCACAAACGAAACATATTTTTTCTTGCTGTCTGCTGCATCTTTGTACCATACAAGTAGACGCTGTTGATGAGTTTGGCGGACACTGTAACCAGCAATAAACTCAGAGCTATCGATCAAAGACTTCCATGATTTTGAAACGGATCTGAATCGAACCAGTGACTTCGAAGGAAGTCTTTTGATGATATCCACTTGGATTTCGAAAGGAATGTATTCCGACATTTTGATTTTGGAAGATGGTTGTGGGAAGAAATTTCTAGGGTTTGCATAAAAGGAGAGAAAAGCGCGAAAAGATGATTTCAACGTCGTGTTCTCGCGAAAACTGTGAAAACGACGACGTAGCCAATTTTAGCGAGTTTTTACTTTTTAACCCTGGCATAGTAGTTGAGAAAAATATTTACCAATAAAATTTATTAATATGATAGAAACGTATTTTAAGGTGGTTTATATATTTTCTCCCTAACTCTGCTCACTATTTGAATTTTGAACATCTAAAACGTTAATCATTTTTATTTTACCTGTAATTTTTCTTTTTTCATTGTAAACTTGGGAGCAATCATGCTCCTTGCTTTGCTACAGTGTTTCCCCTCTTTATTAATATATTAGATTATGATACGCGTTAAACACGGAAAAACGCATAAATAAAATATAAATGTATATATAGATATTGCAGAATAATTATAAAAAAATCAGGGTTATTGATATTATTGAAATGTGTATAAAATACACTGAGGTTGGTAAATATATATAATCGTTGAATGACTTCTTTGTAGACAATATTTTTTGTTTTATTAGTTGAACGACCTTTCATCTCCACAAAGTACATTCAAACATTTTTTACTTGTGACACCGGAAACAGCTACATATAGTTAACCATGCGCAAAATTGGTTTACGCAAGTATAATCCAACGTTTGACAATGTACTTTCAAAATACATTTTTATTTTATGGTTATATTGCGAAATAGAATTGTTTATTTTTAAAACATAGCAACTTATTTATGTTTATTTGTAGGGCTGTTCACTATTCAGATAAAACCGAATTATCCAATTGGACAATTTGGATTGGACTATTTGGTTCGGATATTCGGATTTTTGGATTGGTTTTCAACAAAACCGAATTATTATTTTGGATTTCAGATTGGTTTTGGTTTATAAAATAAGAACCGAATAATCCAAAAAACCGAATAAACATTTATTATTTATCTATTAATAATATATATCTATAATTGTTTATTAATTTTGTGATTTATTTTTTCAACTAGGTTCAAAACATTTTACCCGATAAAAAAACATTAATATGCATTTTCTCTCGAAAGTTTTGTATTTATAAAATATTTAACTATAATATATATTCTTATTAGTTGTTTATAAATTTCAAATCACAACTAAATTATTTGTTTTTGTTTCTTGTGTAATGTTGGGTGATATTATAATTATATGTCGTTTTAAAATGTTTCGGTTTTTGAAAATCGAATTATAAAAACCGATCCAACCAAATTGTAATTGGATCGGATTGGATTAGATTTGAAATTAGTTTGGAGAATTCGGATCCATGTTTTGACAACCGAAATCAATTTGGATTTACTTGATTGGATCGGATCAAACGGATCCATCCAAACGAACACCCTTATTTATTTGAAATGAACCACATAACCCCCCCCCCCCCCCCACACACACACACACATACAATATTAAATATAAAAAAACTCTAACAAAGAAATATAAAAACATTTATGCTTGCTCGATTTAGATATTGCCCATAACTTATTGAAAATGTCAAAATACATAATTGGCACACAGCTTACTTGTTATTATGAGACGAATTAAACAATTTAAACAAATGTTGATTTTTTATTTTTATTTGATGACAATGATAAAATAATGAAAAAATGAATGCTTACTTCAAGACATTTGCGGACGTTTGAGTAAGGTTTATGGTCATAACTGCTGAGTATTCATATCTTTCACATATATATCTATTAAATGGTTATTCAAGATGAATTAAAAGTTCATTGCTATTTCTTGCCAATTTAGAAGTATGTTTCGACCACTTTTGCATCAGATAAAAAACATATAGGTTCTTTTAGTATTACTGCAATCCTATTTTCATATAAAATTACTTTTTTTTGCATCAAACCAAACTCGGTGTTTTTAAGCATTATTATCATCTTATATTATACATTCTTGATAGTTTTTAAAAGTTAGTTGCAATTTCTCATTTATTTTTGAAAGTTCGTTGTTATTTCTTGTTGCTTTTATAAATAAGTTTTAGACTATTTTTTTTGTATCAAACCAAATTTGAAGGTTATTTTTGCATTATTACCATCGTATATGTTACATTTCATTTTTATTATTTGAATATAGTTTTTGTAGTTCAAAACCGATACGAATATAAAAATAATGACTACATATTAACCAACTCTCTATAATGTATAATTAAAAATCAAGACACTATAATCATAATTTGTTGATGTTAGTTAATATGTAATTTATTTGGGGATGAGGTTACTTTTTTTGGTCACTTATTTGGGAAGTATAATATGTATTATGCATTACAAGTGTTTATCTTTTAAATTTAGCATTTGTTACTTTAGAATTTTATTTTGGCTTGAAATAACCATGATCATCCCATATTTAGTATTTTTCTTTTCTTGCACATTTACTTCCTACTGACTTGTTGTAACACCCCAAAGTTTGGAAAGCCAAGAAAAGAAAGAAAACCTCAAGTTTAGGGAGACTCGGCGAGTCCATGGAGGGACTCGGTGAGTCCGAGCGGGATCCGGGTTGTGGTGGAAGCGACCAACTCGACGAGTCGGCCAAGGAGACTCGACGAGTTGGGTCTGATCGAGGAAAACCCTAAATTCGGGACTTGGAGCCTATTTAAGCGTCTCATTCTCTTTCCTAGGGTTCCTTTACTGCCTCTCTACCCCAGAACACCAAACCCTAGCCGCCATATCCGTTTTTGAGCTAGATCTTGCCTTGAAGAATGCACTAAAGCTTGGAGGAGGAAGAAAGACCTTGGAGGTGCAAGAAGGGACTGTAGATCTAGGATTGTGGAGTCATTTCAGACCAATTGGAGGTAATAAGCTGTTGCTTGGACTCCCTTTTGCATCTAGATCTATTCTTATGTGTGATTTTTGGTCATTGTTGGTATGATATGTAACCAATTCGAGTTGGAGGTTCAGATCTGAGGTTGCTACCTCAGATCCATGTTGGCTTTGGTCTTGAATCCCCTAAGTATCATCCCTTGGTATGTTGAAGAAGCATGTTTGCCATAAACCCTAGTTTAGTGTGTTTTGAGCATAGATCTCTCAATCTACACGTAAAGTTTGCCACTTTACGTGGGGAATAGGCCCTAGAAGTATGGATCTATGAGTTGGAAGTTCTGTTTGGCTCGAAAAGCCACTGCATGGATTGAGGACTGGATAGACTCGACGAGTCCTTCGAGTGGACTCGGCGAGTAGCTTGAAGATGAGGAGGAACTCGACGAGTAGGATGAACAGCTCGTCGAGTCGGTTGAAGTTAGGCATGGACTCGGCGACTTGGACGAGCAAATCGACGAGTTAGTTGAAGATTGTCTTGGACTCGGCGAGTCTGTTCTTGGACTCGGCGAGTCAGATCGCGAAACCCTAAACCCTTTGAGTTGAGACTCGAATCAGTGAGTTGGGTGGTGACTCAGCGAGTTGGTCAGGACAGGACTTGGAACTAGTTGGACTCGGCGAGTCATGGACTGACTCGGCGAGTCGGGTCGCGAATAAGAAAGACCCTGAGCTTATGAACTCGGCGAGTCTTTAGGAAGACTCGGCGAGTAGGGTTGACCTAGAAGGTTGACTTTGACCAGAGTTGACTGTCAGACTAAGTGTTATATGTATATTGATAGCTCGGAGAGCTAGAGGAGCAGCGGTTCAGGGGATTGTCGAGTAGCAGCCAGAGGTTTATCAGCAGGGCTCAGCAGTTCAGATGAGTCTCCTTCCAGTAGGAACGGGTCTAAGGCCACAATGCCGGCCCGTTTAGCTAGCAGTAGTTTTTGGATGTTGATCTGCTATAGTAGTTAGTATGTTTGATGCCTTCATGGCTCAGACAGGATTTATGTCTTATGTGTTCCGGGCTACGGCCCGAAGTAGTATGCAGTATACGTGTGTTCATGCTAGTTGATATGTTTATGTTATGTTCTGTTCAGTTAGCCCGGACTTCGGTCCGATGCAGGGGACAAGGTCCCAGTTAGTCCGGACTTCGGTCCGATGCAGGGGGCAAGGCCCCAGTTAGCCCGGACTTTGGTCCGATGCAGGGGACAAGGTCCCAGTCAGTCCGGACTTCGGTCTGATGCAGGGGGCAAGGCCCCAGTTAGCCCGGACTTCGGTCCGATGCAGGGGACAAGGTCCCAATCAGTTTCCGGACTTCGGTCCGATGCAGGGGGCAAGGCTCCAGTTAGTCCGAACTTCGGTCCGATGCAGTGGGAAAGGCCCAATATGTGCTTTATATGTTTTTGTGTGGTATGTGGTAGATTAGGGGAGCTCACTAAGCTTCGTGCTTACGGTTTTCAGTTTTGGTTTCAGGTACTCGGTTTTCAAAAGAGGAGCTCGAGAAGATTGCAGAGCATACACCATAGTCAGTTAGCCTGGGAATGTTTGACTTTGATAATGCTGTTATGTTTTGAATTTAATACTCAAAAGTTATGTTTGACTTATGATACGTTGTTTATAAATCTATTTTTAGTAATGTTTTAAAAGAAATTTTTAGTCGTGATTTTTGGGTCGTTTCAAGTTGGTATCAGAGCCTTGGTTTGAGGGATTCGGGCGCACTCCTGAGTGTGTCTGAACTCAAACTAAGGAAGTGGTATATAGTTTTCAAAAGAAAAATCGTAGCTACAAAAGAATTTTGAGAAAAGAAAACAATTTTTAGAAAGAGCAAAAAGAGTTTTGAAAAGAGAAAAGGGTGTGGTGCATGCAATCAGCTGAGCTCAAGTAAGTACTCCCAATTTACCCATACAAGTTATATTATGATTATCAGTATCAGTTTCAGTATCAGTTTCAGTTTCAGTTTCGGTTCCAGCTTCAGTAGAACAGCATGCTAGAATAGGACTAAGGATCTAGGATGATGCCTTATGTGCCTGCTTTATGTGTTCAGCTTTATGAGAATTGCATGCTAGTATTAAGTAGACAGCAGTAGGATAGCCTGTTTAGGTTATGCCTGGTAGCGCGAGCTTAGCATTGTAGGCTAT